TTACCGATCCCACCTCTTTAGTGGAATGACGGGGTATGGTTTCGAGCACCCGCTCACCAGGACCGGGCAGCTATTCTCTTGGACCGGGCAGCTGTTCCCTTGGACCGGGCAGTTTTTCCCCGGGGCCGGGTAGCTGTCCCCAACGACTGGGCAGCTGCTCACCGGGACCGGGCAGTTGTTTCCCGAGGGTGGGTAGCTGTTTCCCGGGCCCGGGCAGTTGTGCCCCGTGGCGAGGTTGCTGTTCTCTGGAACCAGGCAGCTGTGCCCCGGGACCTAACAGTTGTTTCCTGTGAGCGGGTAGCTGTTCCCCGGTACCGGACAGTTATTGAGTGTGTGCGTTGTGTGCATGTTTTTAGTGTTACAGAGTTTTTTTTTTATTTTTCGAACACGGGTAGCACATTATGACCGTATTCGTAGTTAATATTAAGTGATGGCTTTTGTTTTTTATTATTAAGGCTTCCGTTATTTTTAATCCTTTTTTATAGGTGGATGAGGTTATTATATTTGTATTTTCTACTAGTATGTTAAGGATGGAATCTGTTAAGTTTCTGTGTGTGTGTTTAAATGGATTCTACTAGAGCTGGGGTCAGATAGGTGCAATGTAAGGCGTCTGGATAGGCATGTATCGGTCATACGACTATGTATATATATATATATATATATATATATATATATATATATATATATATATACCATTTTATATCTGAAGCGCCTCGCACAATCTGTAGCTGTCAGAGTTTTTTTTTTTATCGTAGTTATCTTGATACTATGGGGAGGTCCCCCAAGGATCGTTCACAATGTAGTAATTACACTTTTGTTTCATTATATATATATATTTTTTCGTCTCGGATGCTACCGGGATTTTACTAAAAACAAAATAATTTCCATGCCTGAGGATGACTGAATCTACAGTTGAAAGTACTTGCGTATTAAAAAAAAGACCTTATACAGCTTGTAGTTATTAAAAACAAGGATCGTAACATTCATCAAGTGATTTGTAGGTTGATGCAACTTGAAAATTTTGTTTGCGAAAGGATTTCCCCATTTTATATCATTAACTTTACTAATCTACATTTTGTATGAATCATTCATTTAATATATATATATATATATATATATATATATATATATATATATATATATATATATATATATATATGGTCTATTAAAAAAAGTTTACAAAATTTGGGGCGGGTTTCTCGTACAAGGATAAATCTCCATATAAACATATGCCCATAATTTTTCGTTTTTGAATTATTAAATTTAAAGTTTACGGTAGGCGCTGTTATGCGTACAATCCAACCTACAATACAAAAATACTTTTACAAACTTTGGAGCCGGCTTCCTGAGACCAAAACAAGGTAAAATGTCGATATAAACATATATTTTAAGACATTTTTTATGTCTATACATTGTTTTTGTAGATAGAAAGTGTTGAAGGAGCGAGATTTATAGATAGAGAAACAGTCTCATCTATAAATGAATAAAAAGATATGAACAAACTGAAATAGATAGATAGATAGATAGATAGATAGATAGATAGATAGAGTGAGTGATTGAGATAAATGGATAGAGTGAGTGATTTAGATAGATTGGTAGATAGATAGAGAGAGTGAGTGATTGAGATAGATAGATAGATAGATAGATAGATAGATAGATAGATAGATGAATAGAGTGAGTGATTGAGATAGGTAGATAGAGTGAGTGAATAATTGAGATTGATAGGTAGATAGATGGAGAGAGTGATTGAGATTGATAGATAGATAGATAGATGGATAGAGTGAGTGATTAATATAGGTAAATAGATAGAGATTGATAGATAGGCAAATAGATTGAGTAAGTGAGATAGATAGTGATATATTAAAATACATGTATCTTTGATATATAAAAAATATATGTATATTGATATATAAAAATTTTATGTATCTTTTTCTCATATATATGTATATGCACACGTGTGTTTTTCTTAGTATTGTGTAAACTCTCAGCAGCAAAACAAAGAAAAGACAAAACGATAAAGGATAAATACAATTTTAACCTTGAATACGATACACTACAAAGTCAACATATTTGACGTCGACGTCCATTTGTAAGTAACAACACTATATCTGATTTCGTCATGTGTGCATAAGGCACCCCCATGGCGGCAGGGGTTCCGCATCCGCATGGAATTACGAACCACACAGGTTGGCACAGAAACATCATTGGCCAATGGATGCACACACATTCACGCACATACACTGGTACAGGCGCACGGACACCTGCATATGCAAGGCTGATACATATTCTTTGCGTGTGGCCATATGCCTTTTAATTAGAGATACAAAGATTATGTTGCGTCAGGCATATAATTAGTTGAGTTGAAAATCAGGATTTTGCACAGTTTCTTACACCAATCTGGCATGTACGTCACACCCACACATGAACACAAAAATATATATACACAATCACAGAAATTATACATATATATTAAGAAATGGACAAAGTCCGACAATTTATTTATTAAAGACATTTTTATGTTTAACGTTCTTTTTATAGATACAAGTATTTAAGTAAATGCTCTGTTTATAATAAACAATATTAAATAACATTTACCGGCCTGAATGTCCGAGAAATTTTCATAGAAAAAAATCGTCCTTTGACAGGATTCGAACCTGCATCCTATACAGAACAGTCATTTATACTGACGTGCCTAACCTCTCGGTCACAAATGATCGTTCGGTTGGCAAGGTCGAATTTACTGCTTATAAACTTCAATCTTCCATGAATCTCGTACATTCATAACTGCTCATGGCGTATCAAATGTAAACAAATGACGTCATATATAAAGAAATGGACAAAGTCCGAGAATTTATTTATTAAAGACTTTTTTATGTTTAACGTTCTTTTTATAGATACAAGGCACGTCAGCGTAAATGTTATTTAATACTGTTTATTATAAACAGAGCATTTACTTAAATACTTGTATCTATAAAAAGAACGTTAACTATAAAATGTCTTTAATATATATATATATATATATATATATATATATATATATATATATATATATATATATATATAATCTGATAAAGTTAGTAAACATATGGATAATTCCAGGGAGGATATAAATCCTGAGAGCTCAATGTAATAAATAGAGCAAGTAATAATTAACAAACTGGATGGAGACTTCAGAAATCCATGGTAATATATTATTTCGCGAGACCAATAAAATTCGATTTCGCTTCGTCAGAGCTGGCGATTTCAAAACCGTTATTTGTTATATATATATATATATATATATATATATATATATATATGATGAAATGGATTAAATCCGACAAATATTTTAATATATTTTCTGTTTATACGTTATTTTATGGATGCAGATTATTTAAGTGAATGCTCTGTTTTAATTAAACAATATTAATTACATTTACCGGCCTGAATGTATGAGAAATTTCGAAGAAAATATGTGTTCTCCGACAGGAATCGAACCTGTCTCCCCATAAGGAAACCGGCTTATAGCCTGACGTGCTGTTAACCATACAGCCATAGAACAAATAGAACTAAAAATAAGATGAAAATATATTCCACACCATAAAAATAACGTATAAAATATATATTTATATAATATATTCAACAAATAAGAAGAAAAATATTTACATATTGTCATTGCAGATATATACATATATCAACATCTCTGAAAATATAAACTTAATATATATATATATATTATATATGTATATATATTTATTAACCAACAAATAAGCTAAAAACCCCTAAAGCAATAAAAAATCATTTATTTTCTTGAAGATGAAATATTGTCATTTGAACTGTGTAGAAAATATATACATATATTTCAATTCTATCTCTGTAAATTTACAAACTATAAAATAAAACCACAAACTTATTTTTATATCTTACTGTTCTTTCTTTTTATATATATATATATATATATATATATATATATATATATATATATATATATATATATATATATATGTGTGTGTGTGTGTGTGTGTATATCACAGGTAATCGATCCATTGGTATAAATTCGGGTGGATCCTCGTAAGATTAATTATTAAAATTGATCCACAGTGACCTGATATTTTTTTAACAGAACTTATATATTTCTATATTGAGGGAAATTCACTATTACACACGTTAAATGTTGAAGACAGATTAGTATCAAATGTACACGATTGACAAATGTAACCTAGTCTACACGGCAACATAGCGCCATCTACCGTAAACTTTCTTTAAACTTAATAACTAGAAAATGACTTATAACTAAAAAATGAAGGATTTGCGAACATATGTTTTTATGGAATGTTGTCCTCTTTTTTGCATGAGGAACACGCTCCCGACGTTTTTGATACACCTTGTATATTTTCAAAGTCCATTCAAGAACCATCAAGAGAACGGTGAATAAGAGGAAACAGTAGTGAGGAACAGGAAGAAAAAGTATCATTCTTTAGAGATAAAAAGACCGATTAGAAAAGATCCAACTTAATTCATAAGACGTTTAGCACGTGAGAGAGGAGTGTCAGCTATGAAAGTTCAAAGAGCAGTGAAAAAAAAACTTGAAAATGAAATCATATGTAAAACTTTTGAGGCAACTTGTAACTCCAGGACAGAAAGTTAGAAGGTTAGAGAGGGCGAAGTTCATCTTGAATAAGTTAGAAAATGATCCTGGAATCATATATATATATATATATATATATATATATATATATATATATATATATATATATATATGAATTCATGAATCATTCATACAAAAAACAAATATAGAGGTTAATGATTTAAATGGCGAGAATACATCCTCGCAAACAATATAAATAAGATACATCAACCCCGAACCTGTATATGAATGATATGATCTCTGTTCCTACAGACATCCTCAGGTATGGAAATAGATTTTGTTTCTTGTTTTTTACTTCTCGGTAATAAGAGGACAACGAAAATATAGATGTAATCCGAAAAAATGCTATGAGAAATGTGTTATTGTTTTGGAA